AAAAGATCATACAATCTAAACTTTACACTTATATTAATTCTTTAAATCGTTATTTTAAGCTTCTTTTCTTTTTTTTTGCACAACAAACGACGTAGTGGTGGTAAATTACTTATAACTTTGATCGGTAATATGTAATATGAAAGTTGTGGGATTAAGTTTATCTATTTACCATGTTTAACAGAGAAGATAATCTACCTGAGCTTTCAAAAAAAGTATTGTAAAACATATAAAAAATTCTCTTTAACAATCATGTAACAATCGGATAGTCATTCCTATACTTGCCTGTTGCGTAAAACACAAATTGTATTTTCGCCTTTTTTTTCAAAAAATTTTTGCAGATCACGTGAAATGATGATCATGGGATTTTCCGATATTCGTGTGGCACAGTTAAACATATATTTACAATAACTGTTATATAACCGTTATATACTTAATATACTTGAGAAAAAATTATCCATTATCCTTTGTTTTGCAAAGGATAGCATATGCTTCCGCTATAGCTGTTACCTCCGCTACAGCATTTTCATTTACTAAGGCACAGGGAAAAGATTTTTAATTGCTTTGCACTAACCCTAACCCTAAACAAGAACTTAAACAACCTTAACTAAAAGTAAAAATATTTATTACAGTATTATATACAAGTATACATTATTTATTAACATGTTTTTATTGCGTAATATCCAGAACGTATTGTGATTACGACCCTCCCAAGTATTTTGTTATTTGATTACAATTCAGATTACATTTGTATGATCATGTGATCTGCGAAATTTTTTAGCCGGTATTACTAGTCATAATGACATAATTACAAAAATCTCTATGAACTTCTCTTATAAAAACACACAAACTTTTTAAACATTGCATTATACTCAACCTTAAATCAAACTTGTCATTGCCAGTTCATGATTAGGAAAGTATAGATTTATAAAATTTCTACTGTGGACTTCTAGCAATATCCTACATCTATTTGTGTACCACCGCTACTTTTGCGACCCCTTTCGGTTGTGAATCTTGGATAGCTGCTATAGCAATTTTATAGCACACCCATTTGTGCATCACCGTTACTTACGACCCCTTACGGCTGATGTTTGGTAGCATAAATCTTGGATAGCTGCTTTGATAGTATATTTAATGTCTTCTTATTGTTACCGACTCCATAAATCTTGGATAGCTGCTTTGATGGCATAATTTATGTTTTCTCATTGTCACCGACTCCATGATGATTTGCTAACCAGTTGCTATAAAATCAAAGTCCACTTAGCTATTTATATTTATATACTTTCATTAAATTAATTGTTACTTTACATTATTTATAAAATGGAACTATATAAACAAGTTAATAACTACTTTAATGAAGTTAGTTTTATCGATTGGAATATTATTGAATGTCTATACAGTATCAAAAATCCAACATTCACATCTGCAAATATAGATGAAGTTGCAGATGTTATAAAAGAAGTAATAAGAAATCATCTCCAATCAAATGCATTATTAGCAAATGCAAAAAGGAAATTAGAACATCTTGAATCTACTTTTGATGATACTTGGAGATGTTCTGAAGTTCATCAGTACTTTGTTCAATTGGACCTATCTCATGTAAATGCAAGTATTAAAGCTATTCATTTCTTTGTGAAAAAAAGTTTGAATATACTGACTTATAGCTATCTAATAATAGGAAGTGCTAAATAATGGTCATACACGAGATCTTGACAATGTAAGCTTGTTTAAATATGATTTTACTGTAACAGATTTAAATCATCAAGCTTTTTTTTTGTTTTTTTCTTGCAATCTGAAACAGTCATATTCCGAAAAACGTCTACTACCTGAACCCGAAAATATTCGTGATAAAAATTTCAAAAAGAGAATCGCATCATGATCAAATAGTAACACTGAAAATTATGAAGAGTTATTTGATTATGAAGGTCGTGAAGAATTGTTTGATCATGAAGTTAGTGAAGAAGATCATGAAGAGTTGTTGGATTATGAAGCACAAGTATCTGAAGAAGAAATTTCAACAGAACAGGTTAGTATTGTGATATATTTTTCTACCAATTGTTATCACTTTTTGTGCTTATCTAATATCGTTCTTTATTTAACTTAGGCTATGGCTGATCCCACTACGGATTGGATTTTATCGACTAGGAAAAATGTTAGTGAAATATTATCAGCATATCGAGAGAAAATTCCTTTTAATAAGGCGTATCTATAGTAAGCTATACTTTACAAAAATATTTTATAATATCAATTCCTAATATAATACTGACCGAGTTTTGCCTATAGCCCTGCCTATTTCGGAATTTTGAATCTTTCTGAAGAAGATGTTGAAGTAAAGAATTTGTTTACGAATGATGAATAGAATGAAATGATTGAGGATTTTGAAAATAATGTTATTTAAATAATTTGGAAGCTGAAATGGAGGTGCCTCTCTATGAGTTGATGAACGAAATCACAGAGGTAAAAATGCAAATTTGTATTATAACTCACTCTCATCATAGTGAAGTCGTTGGGCTGAAAAAAAACTGCCACTTGTTTTTCATCAGGTGATTTTAATATTTGTGCCTTTGAAACATCCCCATGATTTGAACCAACTGTGATGAATAAATATCAATTCTTATAACACAATCGAATTATCATAAGCCTACCATCTGTATATCTATAGTGGACAAAAATCTGTTGTCCAATATTCTTTTCTTTATCACTACGACGTAAGCTCCAATAATGTTCTCGTAGTGATAACATTTCATTCCAGAATGTCTTTCATTGTTTATAATATCATTTAGTCTTAAAGCAGCAGAAAATAACATATCTGCATCTTTACTATAGCTTATATTGAGATAATACTGCATGTGCTTTACTAAATCAAATCTTCACTACAACAAAAGTTCACTATAATGAGAATGAGTTGTATCTAGATTTATTTAACAATCAACTAAGTATAGTATTTCTTATTAGAAACTAGAAAAGAAACCCTCTGATTTAATTACTGAAATCGAAAGTTGTGTAATTGAAGTATGTAATTTACTTGCATTGATTTTTTATTAAGTAAAATTCTAATAAATATCATTTATAGAATAATACGAAAGTAAATACAATTCGGCGTCTTATTCAGATATAGTAGGTTTTTTTTTCTAATTCGTGATATTAATTTTTTGATAGCTATAAGATATAATGATTTTACATTAAACAGTGCCTACCATTTACAACATTTACGTCTTCCGATGTCCGAAGCTGCATTTGGTAGCAATTTTACGAATATGATTACGAAAGGAATATTAACCTTCAATTCAATTTATCACTATGAGAAGTAAATTATCAACTGTTTGTTGTTTGTTATATATTTCTCAACCTTGTTCATTTGTTAATAATTCGCAATGCAGAGGAGAGATTCAGAGTCTTGCTTCATCGGTAATCACCAACATGAGAACAAAACCTACCGACAGAAGCTTAATTGGGCAAAAAGTAGATTTCAGAATCAGTAAAGATCAATTCGAAATGCTAATTGGATTGCGATCAGGTGGTCTTCCTTCGGCGGCAAAAAGTAGAAAATGGATTGACAAAGTGGATTTAGCAGTCGCATTACAAGATGTGTTGTTAAACGAAGGAATAGAGAATAATGGCGTAGAACCGAACAAGTTTCATAATCTGTTTACTCTTGAAGTTCATACATTTAGTAAGTTAAT